CCGAGCCGGGGCCTTGCGCTCGGCTGGGGCTCTGTCCTCTGTCCGTCCCTTCCCTCCCCCCAGGCGTGGCTGAAGGGGTGAGAAGAAAACCTCTAGGGTAACTTGTCTGTGTCTGCCGCAGAAAAGGGCAGGGGGGGAACAGGAGCTGCTCAGAGGCCCCTGGCTAAGCCCTGGCTTTGTGCCGCGGTGACTGGCGGCGTTGCCAAGTGTTGTTTCTGTGCGTGATTAGCGGGTTTTTTCCGACGTACGCCGTTGTGCTTAATCTCTGCTGTAGAGACAAGTACCGCTACTTTGCTTGCCTCCTGCGAGAGCGCTTTGACAAGAACAAGGATGTGAAGGATATGGTGAAAGCTACGGAGCTGCTGAAGGCAGGCGAGGAGGAGTTCTGGGCAAACCAGCATCCTCAGCCGTACATCTTCCCTGACTCCCCTGGGGGCACTTCCTATGAGAGATACGAGTGCTACAAGGTAAGGTGGCCTGTAAGGCTGTGTGTTACTGTGCTTACCTCACTGTTCCCTTCGTGAGTGTGAAGCGGGTGCTTTAAGCGGACTTTCATAGGGCAGCAGCTTGACTGAGCAATATAATTTCTTGAGTAGATTCCTGCTGCTTGCATGGGAGAGCTGTCCTGCTTCTCTGATCCTTGAAAGGTGGAGTTTGTTGGTCTGTCTGAACATAGCTAGCTGCTTTTTGCTGGGATAATTATCTGCTCTTCTGCCAAATGGAAGCTGCTCCCTGATGGGTCAGGCAGGCACGGTGAAAGAGTTGAAGCTGAGCTGTGAGAGTAAACGATGTGGAGGAAGCTGAGCTGCCCATTGTGGTGCCATCTGGTCACAGCCTTGGTCTCTCTCTGCCCTTGTCAGATATCAGCTTGGCTGTTGGGGGATTTCACTCGGTCCCATCGCTCCTTCAGCGTTTTGAATAATGGTACAAGTTACCATTTCCCTTCACGGGCTCTTGTGCGTCACCCTGTGATAGGTGGTATGCCTAAAAATAGAAGCTGTATTTTTAGAATCTAAAGCACTTCTAGAGGCTTCTTCCCCCCCTAGATTGTTCTATTTAGGAGTGAAGAAACAGGTTTCATAGACGAACACAGGGTTTTTGCTTTCATGGCATGGGCTCTTCTAATGCATTACAAGAAGTTAATACTAAGCTAGAGAGTGCATGCACCCATTTTCTCCTGAATGTGAGGAAAGTGCTGACACAAGACTAGATCTGATCAGATATTTACATGTAAAAAGCCGTGTGAAAGGAAGAATATGATGTAGATTTATCAGAGGCAGAAAAAAGAAGATGTGAGTGAAAAGGGAAGAGGAGGACTTAAGCTTACCCAAGGTCATGGGCCTTGGCAGTAGTAGCCATAATAGTGAGAGAGAATCCAGACAGAAGAAAGGCCAGTGGAGCAATAAATGGTCACGATTGGTCTTCATATAGAAGTATAAACTGGCTTATGTTCTCTTTTCTTTGCCCTGTTCTGTGTGCTAAAACTGTCCTTGAACAAAATGGCTGTCACAAGGGTTTGGCTTGTTGATGTATCAGTGACTGCCCGTTGTGGGTGCTCCTACAAAATGTGGGGTTTAGATCTCAGGCTGTTGGATGGTTTTAATTGTTGTTTGGTATGTGTGGAATTTTTGTTTGTATTAGCAGCTCTGCTATTTCTGTTCAGTCAAAGGTTTACTCAGTGTTGGGAATCAGAGCAGGAAACTGGAAGTGTAAATGTCACTGGATGAATGATGGTATTGGAGCAACTTCTTAATTTTCTTTTTTTTTTTTTTTAAGAATTGGGATTTTTGGTGGGGTGTTTTTTGTATTTCAATCAATGTTCCTGTCTAAAATGTTGACAGTTAGTGATGTGCTGCTGCGGAATTCTAAATTGTGCTTCTTTTCTTGACTGGATGTTTTAGAGGTCAGACCACTATCGAGATCGTAAAGGCCACAGGTTTGTTTAGTGGCTGCAGACAGCAGCAATGAGCTGTAAGGTTCTGTCTCTGTCACATAAAATAAATTAGTAGTTGGAGAAGGCGATCTCTGTAACCTGCTGCCTTTGGGAGAAAGAAGGAAAGAAGTGACATCTCCTTTTCCACCAGATGGAATTCTTTTGAGAACTTTTGAGTAAACTGAGATGACCTGGGACTTGTCTTCGGGGTGCTACGATTCAAGCAAGTCGCTACAATGTCCTCCTGTGACTTAGGATATTGTGTGAAACGAAGATGGAAAGTGCTGATCTCTGCGCTAGCCTTGAGACTAACAGTGGTCAGGGGGCTCTTAAACGGCGTTTTTATCTGGTGCTTTATTTGCTGGGTTATTGATCCATTTTGATACTGGCTTCAGTGATGGTGTTTAGTTCTTCTGTATGTGTGTACTAGGTAGGATTTCTTAAGTAAAAGTATATATATGTGAATTAAGATCTTTTCTTTTTTTTTTTTTTTTTTTTTTAACAGATTCCTGAATGGTGCTTGGATTACTGGCATCCTTCTGAGAAGGCAGTGTACCCTGATTACTTTGCCAAACGAGAGCAATGGAAGAAGCTAAAGCAGGAAAGCTGGGATAAAGAGGTCAGTGCTTGCTCAGTGCGAGGTAAAGCCTCTCCAGCACGCGAGTGCTTTGTGGGACACCTGGGTGTGTTCTTGGAAGCGTTGCTGGATGCCCACGGCGGTGGCGTTCCGACTCGGCTCGGTTGGAGTGAAACACGGGCTCGACCCAAAACGCCTGCACAGGCACCGCCGAGTGAGGGCTCCTTGGAGGCTGTGGAGGGAGTCTGAAGTTCAAGCTGAGCCTGCAGCTGTGCCTCGGGTAGTGCAAGGTGGCTGGAGCGGTTTTCCTAGATGAAATTCCAGAGTGGGGTGAGAGGAAATGAACGACCAGAGAACTCCTGTGCTGCTGCCGTGAAGCTCCGACGCTTTGCGGTTGCACTGTGGGAAGTGACTTCCCCCAGTGTTCGTCACTTGGGAGTCGAGACTGATTTCTGGCCAGGCTAAACTGAGAGTTGGTTGGACAAAGTTGATGTTCTTAGAAAAGTTCTTTAATTCGGTTGTAGAGAAATAGTTGGATTGTGAGTGAGCAACACTACGTTGTGAGTTAACGTAGGGGCAGCCAGCACTTGCCTTGCTCCAGGAAACGTGTGTTGCAGGCACCTGAAGGGCAGTTGGTGGCACGCAGACATGCAGGTCTGCTATGGGAGGCCTTCTCCTGGAAGGAAGTCCTCGCAATTATCTGGCAGCTTTCAAAGCAGCAAGAGAGTTCAGACTGTTGAGTGTAGCAATGGTAGACATGAATTACTTGGAAATAGTGACCTTTGAAGTAAAATTTCTCTTGTAAATCACTTTTTACTCCTAAAAATTCCGTCTTAATTAGGTAACGTGAGCCAGCGGTGATTGCTGAGCTTAAGTGAATAGTGGGGAGCATGAGACCTGTCTGTGAACCGAAGGTGTTACTGCTGGATCTTCCCTTTGGAAATGGGGCTGGTTTTGCTTACCTAAGCCTGGGCGCCCCAAACCGCGTTACGGAAACGTGCGTTTATGTGCTAAAGCGACTTTGTGCCTTGTGTTCCAGATTAAGCAGTTGGAAGAAGAAACTCCAGCTGATGGTCCGATAACTGAAGCTTTGCCTCCAGCTCGTAAGGAAGGGCATCTGCCGCCGCTGTGGTGGCAGTATGTTACAAGACCTCGTGAGATTCCCATGTAGAAGCGCTGTTTCACGTGGGCGTTGAAGCGGGCGTGTTGTGTAGGCAGTCGATGTGTCAGTGCCGGCATGCGGCTCTAAGGCCTGCCAGAGTAAGGACTGCCACAGCGCTACGAATACCTGTACCGCAAAATCAAGTAGCATAAAATAAAGCCAGATAAAGTAAAAGAGAAGGTGTTTTTCTGACCTGCTGTTCCTCCGTAGCAGCTTGTGCTTCCCTTCCAGTTTGCGCGGTGTGGGACAGACGGCTGTGAACGTCTGCGCTATGTACTGAAAACGTCAGGGGCCCTGGACCAGCAAGTTTTGTTGCAGCTCTCACAGTAAGAGCTCGGAAACTCAGCTATGAGACTGCAAAAACGGGCCACATAGAACTCCTGTCCCCATTTTCCTGTTCCATTCCTGTTTCTGTTCTGAGAAGGAACGTGAGCTTAAAGGGGCAGGAGAAGCAGATTTACGGGGGGACTGGGTCTGATGATAAACAACTAAACTGAGAATAACTGTGGCAAGAGCCCGTCTCCTGCAGGGGAGGAGGTGGGAGGGAGCGGGCCCAGAGGCAGTAAACAAAATTACTAATTTGTATCAGCCCCGTAACTTGGAATGTGGCGCTGAAGGTATTACAGCTGGGGTTTCGAGGTGCTGACAGCAACAGACCTGGGCTCCGGTTGCTCCTGGAACGAGGGTATTTCTAACCTTGCTTAGGGATAAAGACTTCTTGCCCTCCCTTCCCACCTTGTTAGGCACTTTGCTCTGCATTTTCTCTCTGCTATCTCACAAGACAAACCTTCCTTACGGTATCGCATGGATAACATCGCGGTAGAGCACCAGAAGACAGTTTGTCCCCATGGAACCTGGATTGTAGGTCACTACAGAGCTGTACCAGGCAAAACAAGTGGCCAGCAGAGGACCGTGGCTCGGGTGTGCTTGCGGTGGCTCACAGATGGTTCCAGCAGGCCCTGTGGTACGATGAGCCAGGTACAAAGAGCTGTTTGCTTCTGGCCACGTTCCCAAAGTGCCGGTACAAGACATGGGAAATCTTGCTAATGCTTTCCCTGACCTCCCCGTGAGAGAATAGGTGGGATGTAACTATCTAGGGAAAGCTCATGGGAAAACCTTCCTGGCTTTTGCGCTGTTCTCCCATTTTTAGAACTAGAGTGGAGGGGATGGGGGTTACCTGATCGGACTTTCATTCTACAGAAGTTGTTGGATTGTATCATACTTAACCCAAAGGCCTAATTTTCAATGAACTCCAACTTAAGGCTTGAGGGTAATGAGATGGTAAAGACACTAACTTCAGCTGTTTTAAGGACTAAACATATTTGGCGTGGGTGGAAGAAAAGGCTTTAATCTGGCTGGTTTTTAGGAATTTTACATGGCCGCCTTCAAGAAGCTTACATGCTAAAACATGCCTGAACTCAGAGAGGAAAAAAAAAAAAGGCAAAAACACTCCAGAAAAATGGCTTTACATGCCTCACCACTGAAATGTTCATTCTTGGCAGGGAGCGGCTCTGCTCTCCGCGCTCCGTCAGGCCACAGGCAGCAGCAGAATCGAGGCGCGCCCTTTTCCAGCGCGGCTCTTCAGCACGCCCCTCGCCTCCTGCCTGTGCACCTGCTGGGCGCCGAGCTGCGTCCTTTCTGCTCGGCTATCGGGGTTTGCTCGGCTGTTTTTCAGCGCTGAAGGTGCTTGTTCATAGTCGGTTCCAGCCTGTGCCCCTTTTCATGCTTGTTGCAGGTTTCCAGTACAGGCTCTGCACTACCAGCCTTGCACTGCCCGAATAAAACGCTGCTTTGCCTTAGCAGCTGCCTGCAGCTGCCTGGGTAGGAAAGGCAAAACCAGATGTGGGCAAAATTCGTAGCAAAATGGAACAGCATGGGGCAAACCCAGCTCCCCCACCCTGCCCCTGTGCCTGCTTTGCTGTACCCCCCAGCCTCGGTGCGGAGCTGGAGTCAGAGCCGTAACGGGGCCGTGCTGGAGGCACGGGTGGGCTGCTGCCGGAGCACCCCACACCACCGCGGGGTAGAGCCAGTTGGAGCAGCCGGTGGGTCCGCACCAAGCGGGTCTCAATGCTGTGCAGATACAAGCTTAGAAAAAACGACCTCTTCCTGCGCCTCACCTTCCCCCAAAACCCTATTCCTGTGCTTTGCTTGTCTGGTGACGATGTTCAGAAATCATGCAAACACCAAAATACTCCTTTTTTTTTTTTTTTTTTTTTTTTTTTTAAAGCATGTGTGATTTTGCAGCTTCCCTCCCAGTCAGCCAACCAACCATGGGCGGTTTTTTTTTTTTTTGGTTAGAACAGAGCAAAAAGTCCCTCCTGACTTCTACAAATGCCTGAGCAGATCTGACTGATGCTCCCTAACATGATGGTTACCCCACATCCCAGCAGTAAAAACACCAAAGATCTCCAACCCAGCACAAAAGGAACATTTTGCATGCGCAGCTGTGAGTGAATGGGCTTTGCTGTAGCAGCAACGGGGATGAACTTCAGAATGAGAGCGCCCGGCCAAGCCCTATGTGAGATACAGCTATAGAGAGGTGGGGGAATGAAACTTCAACCCTTTTGGAGACAGGGCATGTTTCCAGCCAAACCACCTTGATTTTTCCTTTAACGCTTTCATTTCTG